TTTTACTTATTCTGGAATTCTTCCACAGCACAATGCACATAAGTAAAAACTTTGGTTCTGTCATACATTATAGCATAGGAAGTTTCTACGATATAAACTTACTCATGATTTAGCCAAAAGTAGTGCAGAGTTCGCTCCATAACTTTAACTTAGATGGCAGTTTTCCTAACTAAAGCATCTCTACGTATCAAATCTACTCAGTTTATCAAAATAACTTGCCAAACCACCAAGTTAAATTTCGTCATGAAAGTTGTTTGCAGGAGTTGCAGGACTGTAACTGAGAAGAAGACGACTAGATCGCTGGGATAATACTTTTATTGGCCTGACGTTTCAAGATCCGTCGCGGATTCATCATCAGAAACATAGTCAGATAACAGTAGCAGATACCGGTAGCGTATGCACAGGAGTTTGCAGTATTGATAGGATACAGTCATTACTACAAACATGCAACGACAATTAACGCTAATTGACTTCTTAGTGTGTTGAGAGTTTGTTGAAAAGCATGCAGGCTCTGACTTGCTGAACTTTCCTCACGCGTAGTGGACTCGGGCGTGATGATTGCTCGGTCATCTGGCCCTCCGGTGTTGGCGTAGGATGACGCGGTGGCCTGTCTGTCCCCCAAATGGCAACTTGTTTTGGCCAAATTGAGTCTGAGCACAGAATATAGATTGGGCAAATAACTACATTTGTTTATGGATTGGGGGCCCGTGAACGAGGCATCAATTAATTCTCGGCTCACTCGATTTTCACCTGTCGCGAGAATTTCTGCGTCCCGAAATTTGAATGTGTGGCCGGGTATCGTCGAATGAGCCGAAACTTGAGAATTGGTATCATTTCGCCGCATTGCTATCGTGTGTTCAACAATTTGCGTCCTAGGAAGTCTGCCAGTTTCTCCGACATAGTTGTTTTGCCCACAACTGCAACAGGTCCTGTAGACGATCCCAGATGTTTCTTACCGTGGCAGTGGGTCTTTCGGTTTCATTATTTGACGCCTTACAGTTGCTTTCGGCCTGTGTTCGACTCCAATTCCTAGTATAGCGAGGTGGCCGACAGCCTCCGAGACGCTTTTTACCTATGGGATCGCTCGGCAAATGTTGAGGTCGGTGAGACTTTTTTGGCCATCTCGTTTATGCAGGTACAGGTTAAGAGGTTGCGTGGGTAGTCATTTTCTCGCGACACCCGTTGAAAGTAGTGTACCTCGGCAACTTTACCTTCTGGTTTGCTTCAGTGCATCTCAACACGCCGATAAAGTATTTTTACGCAACTGCGTTTGTGACTGATTGGATGGTTGCTGTCGTAATTCGGTACTTGCATCGTGTTTGTCGCTTTCCTGAATGCTTTATTCTTTAGCCCACCACAATCTTTGCGATAGATGAGGACATCAAGGAAGGCCAGCTAGTTGTTCTTTTTCTCCCCCTTTGTGAATGAGATGTCCGGAAAGACGCTGTTAAGACGTTTCTTGAACGTGAGCACCTGATCCCATGTGATGACGACGAAGGTGTCATCCAAATACCGCGCAGAGAATTTCGGTCTGTGGTGTTGGAAGACCAGCGACTCCAGCCACTGTAGGACCGCCTTAGTTATAAGTCCCGAAATCGGTGAATTCATTGGTGTCTCCTTTCACCTGCTCTTACATTGTTCCGTCAAACGTGAAGTACGTCCGGAGACAGAACTTCAGGAGCTGGGGGATTTGGGCAGGTCCAAGGTGATTCTCCTTCTCATGTTATTTGCTTAGTAGGGGTAGGTCGATGGTCTTGACTGCCAGATCCAGAGGGATAGAAGTAAAAAGAGACATGACATCGAAGGGCCTTTACCCCTTTAGGTTTCTCCAAACGTTGATTTGATGAGCGGACCGTGGTCTCCGAATCAGTGGTCAGGAATTTGAGACGCCGAAACAACCACTTTGCGAGTCCATACGACTCAATTTGGCCAAAACAAGTTGCCATTTGGGGGACAGACAGGCCACCGCGTCATCCTACGCCAACACCGGAGA